ACTTTTTATCAAACTTTGCCTTATGATGGAGCTGATAACTGGAAGGAATAAAGATCTTGACGAGAAGAATCACCCAGAGGACACTCCAAGATCCTTGTAACAACATGCATGCACGGATAATTGCATTATTCATTCTCTTGCTTCTTCTTTCGGCTGAGTTTTTATGGTGTGATATGCTCTTGTTATATGTATTAGTTATGCAGAAAAACAGATCATAAGGGAATCTCAGCACAGCAGAGAATCAATTTTCCCATCATCGTCTCAGATTTAAGTCTTCCCACTTGTACTGGTTGTTAGAGATGAAATTCAAATTAGCCGACTCAAAATCAAAAAACATAAACAAACGCGGAAAACATGCAGATAGGTAGATATGCCAAAAATATTTCTCATTATTTTAAAAATACATGGAATATATATAACGCTACCGTGAGATGTAAGTAAGGTGGCTAGGTATGATTTGAATGGTCCACAAAATATAATGTGGAGGGTATGAAGATAGAGTTTTGGAGGAAGCATGAAATTATATAGAGAGTGGGCAAAATAGACCGTGAGTGAATCGAAACAGGGATGAGTGGCTACAGAAAGAGTCAAAAAGAGATTACAAAGTATTTGGCGCTGCAGCTTTCTTTATACTGAGGAAGGCGACAGGCGGCCAAAAGCAACTTCAAGTTTGGCCAAAAGAACATCGCCGACGACTCGCCGTTTTCCAACTGGCAGCGGCCTGCCATCAATCACTATGAAATGTCATCTTTTCCACATTTCAATTCAATTTCTTTTTAAAATAAAAAATAAAGTAGAAGGATAAAGGTATGCTTTTAAAACTAACATGCATTGATCATGTAAAAAAGGGTTATGCCCACTTAAGCCCGGATGTTGAGTTAGAGTTCATAAACAAAGGCTTTACGAGAATTACTCTTAATTGAATCTGTTAATACTCTCTCTTAATAAGATAGCTATAGCTTATGTCAAAGTGAGATGCTCTCTCTATTAAGAAATTATCGCTTTGATTTGTTTTTTATAAGTAAAATTGTATATCTTAATAAGCATTTATTATAATTTTTTAAATTACCTCTCATAATTGACATTAATGATAAACAATTAATACATACTTATGTTGATTAACACAAAGTATCTAATTACTTTATTTTTAGATATAATTATTATAATCAATTAATTTTTTAAAAATGTATGGTATATTTTTTTGTTATATACAGAAACAAATGGAGTATGCTTTTAAAATTCTAATTTGACCTAATATAATGGACATTGGCCGCCTGCTAATGTGCATGTTACTGTCACTCGTTGTCTTTTGCACTTTCTCTCCATGTTCTCAACTCGAACTTGTGCTTCCAGATTTTCTAATTTCCCTTGGATACTGCATCTGCGATTCCCTTCTTATAAATTTTTTTTCTTTTGGTGATTCCAAAGATGCTTTTTGGTATGTTTTATATATATATATATATATATATTATTACTTACAGATATCTTTTTTATTATAGACATCATGTTCAAGACACAATGAGATATTAAGTGTGGATATTTCTCTTAATAAAAATTTAAATCTTAGTTGATCGTATTATGAAAGACTAGCTTCTTTCATTATATTTAATCCTCAGAAGTCATGCTCAACTCAAAACATTGCTAAGCATACATAAATGGCAAGTCGTTTTATGTTGTCCTTACCGCTTGAACAAGGGAGTCATTTTGTTGGGTAAAACAGGGGGAAGATTAAAATTTCTTGGAAGTAATAAAATTGTCTTTACTCAGTTTATTAAAAAATTAATTTCTTGATATTTAACATCGTTAAACTAATTTGGATTCGAGTTTGTTCAGTTTTCAAGTAGATAAAAGCACCCCCGGCATAAGCGTTCGTTTTTCGTCTACGATGAATGAACGTAATGACATTGCCTAGCTAGCTAACTTTGAAATAAATTACTTTGTCGTATTAATATGACAATATTCATATTTAAATATTGAACGAAAGATATCAAAGTCACAAAATGGATTTGATATTATTAAACCCATACTTATGAAAATGAGTTATAAAATTAAAGATATATAAGCGAAGATTTAACGTGTCATTTTAGGTATGGTCAAATGCATCGAAATAAGTGAAGTAAATGCTAATGAAGCCGAGTTGAAATTCAAAGAGCATGTGTGTTGAATGAATGTTAAATCTCACAGTGAAGGACCATATTATAAATGAAGGACGGGGCTGATGAACGAGAAATCGATTGTCAGTTCGTTGGAATCGAAGGGTCAGATGGGGACTTCGCAGTGCCAAATATTTCTACAATGATATCAAAAGTCAATTATGTACAGACTGTCAGTCCCCAAAAAAAAAAAATCTAAAAAAACTGTACAAATAGAGTTAAAAAAACAATTGACTCAATTTTATACACTTAACATTTAAGGATTAGAACTTTTAAATTTAATTTTTAAAATATTTTATTTTTTAAAGCCCGACTTTTATATAAAGGATTTAAAACTAAGCCTATAAGCCCTTGTTATTATTTTATTATTTTTTAAAATTTTTAAAAATTAAAATTTTTTATTTTAATATTTCCTATATTTTTTTCAAAATATAAATTATAATATTTAAAATTTAAAAATAAATAATATAAATTCTTATTTTAAAGTATAAACATGTATTTTAAAGTTTAAATTTAATTTAAAAATTAAAAATATTTTATTTTTAAAGAAGAAACAAAAATGGGTCTAAAAGGGCCGCCCAAGCCCATTTTTTAAGGATCTATCAGGGCCGGACTTAAAAGTTTAATTTCTTTAAAAAATATTATTTTTCAAACCCGAATCCTTATAAAAATGGACTTAAACGAATAACTCTTCAAGCCTAACCCTTATTCTCGATTCTATGCACGAGCGGGCTAGTATGGCAAAATCAAACTCGTTACAAATTATAATTGTAAACTATAGATGCTAATGCTATACACAAAGAAACTCTCATTTGTTCCAAAAAGGAAAAAAAATGTTATGTTTATACTTCTCCCGAGCAAACATGACTAGATAACTTTAGAGAGAATCTCACTTAGAATTTTCAAAGTACAAAATTTTGCACTATGAATTCAATAAAATTTAAAAATATACTATAGGTTCGAGAGTCTTCCTTACAAATTTTGTCGTAAACAAAAAGACGTATTTGTCCTCATCTCTATAGAGTGTTCATAAATATATAACACAATATTTATAAATTCTCAACGTAATATTTATACATACGCGATATATCGTGTGAATATTAACTTAAAATATGTTGTTTTAATTAAAGTATTATTCTTTATGAACTTTATGTTATACAAATATTTAGGTTTACATTTGTTTATTATGTTGAGAATTGATGGGTATGGTATTATGTATTCATAGACATTGTGTTGTTCATCATTTGCTCATTTGTACATTTCACTTCAAGTTAAATCATGTTTATCTAATGTGATGTGCATTCATGAATATTGCGTTGAGAATTTGTAGACGTCTTATTGTACATACATGGACATGCCCTGAAGACAAAAGCAATTGCATTTTTTTGTCCACAACAAAATTTGCAAGAAGGGTCATCGAATTTGTAGCATATTTTCAGATTCTATTAAGCTTGCAATGTAAATTTTTGTGTTTTAAAGCTCTAAGTGAGATTGTCCATGAGTCCTATTTATAACATTATTAGGTCAAAAAAGGTTTTGTTGCATAATCCATTTGAGTTCAGGTTCAAAAACATGGCCACCTTAAAATTAGTTAATTTTCAAAAGTCCTACACTTATCATCAATCCGGTTTATGATCAGAAGCCCATCTTTGTATTCAATTTTATTTTTAAATTTTTTACTTTTAAAATTTAATTTTTATATTATAATATTACAAATTCATTTTCTAAAATATAAATTATAATCTTTAAGATTTTAAAATATATAATTTAAATATTAATTTTAAATCACAAACGCTTATTCTAAAATTTAAATTTAATTTAAAATTTAAAAACTTTTTATTCGTACGGATTAAAAAAAAACTCAAACATGAAACCTTGAGCCCGAAGTTGTTTCTTTTTAAGGTTTAGAAAAATCGGGCCGTGGAGCCCTTTCATATAAAACAACTTAAATTTTGAAAGCTAGAATCCTTCCCAAAAAAAAAACGGTAAATGGGTTGTCCTGTAAACCTGGTCAGTAATTTTTGCAACCTCAAAAAGTACAAATTTTATTTTAAAGGATAAAATTATACCTTTAATTGTTTTATTTTATGCAAGATTTTATTTTGACTCTTTAATGTTATAAAATATTTTTTTAATCTTGTATTTTCAATACTATTATTTTTATCACAAAAAAATTATATGTTAAACTTTTTAATATTAACAAAATATTCTTAAATATTACCATATTCATTAGTTTAATATTTTTAAAAATAATAATAATTGGCATAAAAAAATTATTTAAAATTAAATACATTAATATTAAAATATTAAAAAATATTTTATAAAATTACGAAATTAAATCAAAATTTTATGTAAAGCTAACTTTAGTCTATTTTAAATAATGTTAATATTCCACGTTCAGTAAGGAGGGAAGATAACAACGTTAGTGAGCAGTGGACGGAATATTCGAGAAAGAGAGAGATGTAAGTAAGATAACCTGCCAAACCAAACAAACAGGCAAGCAGGTCCAAAATTCAAGGCGGGTCAGCACACCGACCAGCTGACTCAGTCCGAGCAAGCATCCCGCCGTTCAATTCAACCCTCCAGCCGTCAAATTAGTCATTTCTCTGTCCTTAATCTAATTCCAATCAAATTCCTAAATCATACAAGTACACTACTATAGTCCATTACTTTCATTTTCTTCATTCACAAACCTCGTGTGTCAATTGCGTCCAACTTCTCTCTCCATATCTTCCACCTTTCAACGGTCAACCTTCCCCTATTCAACCTTCTCCCTCCCGCTCCCTTTGACCATCTCCCCCACCCTCCTCTACTTCTATCTATAAAACCTACGCAAGTGGCTTTCCCTCCTATCCTCCTCCTGTATCTCTTCACAGAACCACAAACAAACAATTCAAATCCCAGATTTCTTCTGCTTCTACTCAAGCATACAAACATGGTTTTGTCTTGGTCCAGAAGAAGAGTTTTCCGCCGTGCCCGCAAAGGAAAAGACGTTCCCGGTCCAGCCGGCGCCAGTGACTTGGACGTCGATGTCGAGGTGCTTGTTCCGACGCACTTCCGATGCCCGATTACTCTCGACTTGATGAAAGATCCGGTCACTTTATCCACCGGGATCACCTACGACAGAGACAGCATCGAGAAGTGGGTCGAATCTGGAAACCAGACCTGCCCCGTCACAAACCAGTCGTTGATTAGCTTCGACGTGATCCCCAACCACGCCATCCGTAGGATGATCCAAGAATGGTGCGTCGAGCATCGTTCCTACGGCATCGAGAGAATCCCCACCCCGAGAATTCCAGTCACGCAGTACGAGGTTTCCGATATCTGTGGGAAAATAATGTCGGCGACGCAACGTGGGGACGACAACAAGTGCCAACAGTTGGTGGCTAAGATCAAGATCTGGGGCAGAGAGAGCGAGAGGAACAAGAAGTGTATAGTTGAAAACGGCGCTGCTGTTGCACTGGCCAACGCCTTCAGTTCTTTCTCAAGCGCTTCGATTGAGAAAAACGTTGGCCTTTTAGACGAGATTTTGGGGCTTTTAACATGGATTCTTCCAAAGCGACAGGATGGTTATTCTCAAATTCAAGCTCAATCACTGTTGAGCTCAGAAGCGTCTTTAAGTTGCATGGTTTGGTTCCTCAACAGCAAAGATCTCTCATCAAGGCAAAACGCAGCTTTGGTGCTGAAGCAAGTGCCTGTAGAACCATTAGCAAAGACTGAAGGTATGATTGAAGCTTTAGTTAAGATGATCAAAGAACCCGTAGGCCCTTCTGCAACAAAAGCATGCCTGAAAGCAATTTTCCAGATGGTTTCCTCATCAAATGAGAAAGAGAGGATCATCAAAAGATGTGTGGAACTAAGTCTGGTCATGTTGTTGCTGGAAGCCCTAGTGGATGGAGATAGAGGGACAAGTGAGAAGGCTTTGGGTACGTTGGATTGCATATGTGATTACGGTGAAGGGAAGGAAGTGGCCAAGGCTAATATGTTAACTTTGCCTATCGTGGTGAAGAAGATACTGAGAGTATCTGGTTTGGCTTCTGATTTTGGAGTGTCAATTCTTTGGAAGCTTTGTGATAAGATGGAGGAAACTGTGGTGAAGGAGGCACTTCAAGTGGGAGCGTTTCAGAAGGTTCTGGTTTTGTTGCAGGTTGGGTGTGGTGAGAACACGAAGGGGAAGGCCACTGATTTGTTGAAGTTGCTGAATGCTTATAAGAACACAGTGGAGTGTGTTGATTCGTCTTTGGATTTGAAGTACCTTAAGAAGCCGTTTTGATTGATCCATTGATCCTGACTTGTTTTCTGTATAGATTCATCAGAGAAACTTTGTACAAATTTGCGACACTTGGATTCAAAGAATATACAAGTTATATAGTCAATCGTTCCATTAAAGTTTTGAATTTCAATTTCAGGGAACTTTGGATTTGAGAGATTTATGTTCTGGTGCTACAATCTTGCTTCTTTTTTAACACGTACGTTTCATTTTTAATGATCATAATCACATTCGTTGTCGTCATTTAATTTGCTGATCTTGATGATAAGAACGATGATATATTATCCACGTCTTTTAATTTCTTTCTTTATTTTCTCAAAATACAATTGATTATCGTGGCAAGTCATTTAGACTTTCAAGGTGCTATTAGTGACATGCTCAAGCTCTTTCTCAGCCGTTGAAATTTCGATGAAATAATCAGCCACACAAGTTTTTGTTATTAGCTGTTGCCCATAAATTATTCCAACTTATCTCTTGCACATGATAAATGATTACAATAACTTCTATCAACTTTTTTTGTTCAATTGAGGCAGTCCATTTTGGTGGCTTGATAATATTCTTAATTGAGTATAGAAAAAATATAGTGAAATGTGAATTACTTCGGTCCTTAGGTGCTTTTTCAGAAGTTTGTTTTGTCTACAAATATAAATGTGCCATAACAACTTTGAGTAATTGACAATTTGGCCCTTATTATTATAAGTCTTGAAATGGGGGGAGAAATATTGATTCCACCACCATGATATAATTGTCACATTATTGAGACAAAATTGAACATTTATTATAGTTTTACATACTTTCAACTAAATAATAAAATTTTATTGGTATATAAACAATAGAGTTTGGTTTAAAACATTTTATATATAAGAAGGGACATCGTGCCAAATTAAAATTAATATTTTTTAATTAGTTGAGAAAATTGAATTAGTTTATTAACAAGTTTCAAGTTCAAGCCTTAAAATTTACAATCACATTAAATAAAAATATTAAAGACATCTTCGAAGTACTATAGTATTGTTGTTGATAATAACAATCCCATATATAATATATAGGATTTAAATTAGTCTAGACGGGTAATAATAATATCCAAATTTTCTAGGATAAACACAAACTAACGCTTTTGAGTTCTGAATCAAATGATGAAGATGCTTCATTGTTAAGAGATCCGAGCAGGTAACTCCTCAGTGGGCAGTGGCTCAGAGTTAAAAAATAACGTATATATTATTTGTAATAATTTTTAGCTTGAAATTTATTTAAAATGATAATGGAGATTTTAAAAAAAGTCACAAGGTCTAAAATTACCAAGTTTAGTTCAATCAGTTTTTGAGGGAGGATAACACAGAAACTCTCTCATGCCCATAAAAAAATCAATTAGTATCAAGGCTTTTTTTTTTTGGCCAAAACTATTAAGGCTTATTCGATCTTTTAATTTGTCAACGTGAAAAAAGATTTTTGGCTTTCCAGAAACGTATTAGTTGTATTTAGATTTAAGTCATTTGAAATTGTAATTGGTGAATTTTTATGAAGTTTTTTATTTTAAAAAAGAGAAAATATTTTATATTTGATAAAAAATAATACAATAACAAAAATATTAAAAAATGAACACTTTATCTAAATCCACCAATCCCAGTTTTAAAGAATTTAAAGATAGTTGTAGATAAGAAGAAAAAAAATCAAATATGCACATTCCATGTCTTAACTTCACGATGTCGTGACAAGCAAAATTGAGAAGGAAACAATTCTACACAGAACAACACTCTCAATTTCAATAGTCTGAACTGCTGAAAAAAAAAAAACAAACAAACACCATGACTGTTGACTTGGTACTTCCAGATCCAAGTCTTTAGCTCCACATAATTAACCGATAAATTTCTAGAAGGAGCCATTCAAATTGACAAATAACCACTGGACATTTATTTTATTGATATAAAATACCATATATATATATATATATATAAACAGCATATATAAGGCGAGAATACATATTGACCCATCACACAGTAGACAAAAATAAAAAGAAAGTTAGAGACGAACAAGACGAAACACAAAACGACAACAAACCAAACCCAAACGAACCCCAATTAACTCAGCTCCCAAGCACGTCCTTCCTCAAGGGAAGTAGTGATTATGCCAGAATGCATTGGAATGGCCCACATCCCCAAACGACAGCGTTTCATCAGCACCACCGTTCATCATGTCCATATACCACTGCTGCTTTGGCATCGCTTCCCCTCCGGCCACCTCCAGCACATCCACCTGCTCCACCTTCGCCTTATCTCTGCCCCTCGCCGCCACATCGGCCGCCGCGATGGCCGCCACGTCCACCGCCCTCTGACTCTGAGCCGTCTTATGCAGCGTCTCCATCCTCCGATTAACCTCCTTCAGATTCTGCTCCACGAGCCAAGCCAGATCGTTGAGATCGATCATCGTCATGTTATGAAGAACCTTTCCTGCACTGAGATACTGGTACATGATCTGCGTCATCTCCTTCTCCCTATTGTCCTTCCTATGCTTCTTCAGCTGCTCCTTCGCTTTCATGATCCTTTGCTTCAGAAACCCTTCCTGATTCACCATCTTCTTGCTCTGCTCCAGCTCCGGCATCCTCCTGAACTTCGACAGAACGCGCTGGACTCCGAACGGAGAAGGCCAAACCTCCGGCTGAGAATCGTACGGACTGTACACAATGGCACAAGCCTCGATTCCGCAGAGAGTGGTTAGTTCGTCGATCTTCTTGATCAGACCCTTCTTTCTCTTCTTGTATGTCGCTTTCCTCGCAGAGTCGTTCGCTATGAACGCGAGCTTCACCTTCTTTCTGGTCATGGTGATATTGTGTGACTGGGAAGGAAGATGGAGAAAAACGGAAACTGAAAAAGTTTCTGTTATGTGATTCTTACCCCAAACAGTGAATGGTATTTATAGTCCAGTTTGGTATGGTGTAAATTAATATTTTAGTAATTCATTTATGGTATTAATTAAGCAGTAATTACTAATTTTGATACTTTGTACATTTACATGTATGCGACTTGATTAAACCTTACCCGTTACAATTTTTTTTTAAATGTCCTAATTAATGGATATATGTGAAATTAAAAAAAATATATCTCATGTGTGATTGTTGCTAGAAGGATGTACTCTATACATGTACATAAATCAAGAAAAGATATAAAGCGTGTATGTGAATATGAGTAGGAAAATGGGTGGAGGATAAAGAGAATCTGGGAATTTGATATGCAGCATAAATAATGATGAATAAATGAGGATGGTGATTGGTTTATTTGTGTGTGTGAAGGTATTTTTGACACAACAAGTGTACGTTTATAACCAGTGAATCGTAACGTAAACTTCCATGTTTGGTAATTTTAAATATAATTATTTGATATTTGTTATCATCATGCTAGAATCGAGAATTGTTATATGCTTAATTAAAAGTTTCTCTCTTGACAATAATTTTCCCATCAACAAGTTAATATTCAAAATTTTTATATTACCATTTGTCCATTTCATTGCTAATTCAATCAATATTGGTATTTTGATAAAGAAGATATATATGGAGTTGAATAAGCCTCAAATTTAAAATAATTATTGATAATATTCATTTAACCAGAGAAATAATAACCACGAAAATGCATGTGAACGAGTCTCTTGTGATAAAATTACATAGAATATTGGATTAGAATGCCACACATTCATACTCATCTTTTGCAGTTGGACAATAGTACATATCGAGTCAAACTTAGAAACCTGGTAAAATACGAGTGACGTATTATTTCTTTTGGTCAATTAATATGAGAATCTCACTAAATGGAAAATCCTTAAGTAATGAACATTGCAAAATATATGAGAAAGGAAATATAATTAATAATAAGATTCTACTTAATTTTAAGAATTAACACGATACAATCATTAAGTAATTCAGGCAAAAATAATCATTAGACAACGTCCTACTTTTTTAAGACACTGCAGATTGACGAAGAGAATCTTTTCCTTGTGCAGGTATACAACTATCATAAACATAATTAATCAATTAATATCATGATCATCTGGGTACCGTAAATAGTACGTACTATCTGTAAACTGTATAACATTCAAGAAAAATCTTATAGTTTTAAAACAAACAAATTCTACATTCTAAGATACTAGCTAGACCCATGCTTTTTTATGTTAATTCTTACGCAGTAAATTCTTCTGTGTGTGTGTGTGTGTCATATACCCGTTGTTTTTTTTTTTTTTGGAAAGCTACGTTGAATTTTGATTAATTTGATTTTGAGTTCAGCTGTGAGTTGGATTGAACGTGTAAAACTTTTTATTGGACGAGTTCTGCAATAATAACTATAAAAACTGATGTTAATAATTATTGTGCAATAATTCTAACAATATTTAAATACAATTAGACATGTTTTCTTATACATTGTCAGAAAATTAAATATTATTTTTTCCTTTGGATTATTCGTGCAAGAGAATTTAACATCGTCAACATTTTTTAGTACAATGTTCCCCTTTAACAGTTAAAAATGAAGTTTAATCATTAATTAACCTAAAAAATTACAGAAAAAGATTTCAAAAATTATATTATAGGACTCTATAAGTCTCTTAAATTATAAATAAATTTCAAAAGAATAATGTTATTTCTTATTCATACAAAGGATTAAAAAACTATTTTAACCAATTATTTTGATCAACTATTAGGTGATTTTTTGAATTATCATTGTTGTTAGTCACGTTGATAACAAAATATTAAATATTAAAGTGTTAACATTTTCATAAGATATTATTAAAATAAATATATTAGTTTTCAACCAATTACTGGTGTTGATATTAATAATGATCCAGTAATCATCTAATAGTATGTCAAAGTGGTTAATCAAAATGATATTTTAGTATATTACGTGGTAAAAAATGGCATTTGTCTTTTAGAATTTATTCATGATTTAAGTGACTTAATTAGTATTTTTTTTTATATTGTAATTTTGTATTTTTTTAAGTCAATATAACTAATGGTTAAATTTAATTTTATTAACCATAAGGGTAATATTACAGCAATTTTAATTGTTAGAAAGAAAACATTATACCCAAAAAAGTCCAGGATGCCGAATGTTCTCCCATGGATAATTAACAGACAAAAATGCCCTTTATTCCAGTAATTAAAAACGATAATAATTTACATTCACTTGCACCAAAAAAAATTCTCAACGCAATTTTACAACTCAGTTTATTGTTAGCTTTTACAGTAAATATAAAATATTTATAAACAAAAAAAATAAATAAAATAATATAATCCACAATCATTAAAATGATACATTTATCTTTCTCTCTCTTTTTACTCAAGGCATTCTTGCAACTGGCATTTGTAGGATTAATCCTTAAAAAAAAAAAAATCTACGTAGCATTTCAGAGATGTCATCTCTTAAGCAATATTTTTCTATATATACTTTTAGAAATCAAACCGTACAATGATGCACATTTATCTTGTATTTATTAAGAAATCGCATCTAAAATCCCCATAACAAAGTCCGAGAAGCTATAGCTAAACTCTGCTCTAAACAAATTTGGAAGGTTGCCCCATAAATCAAAAAATTTGAGAAGGGCTGGGCCTTTGGGCTTCTGTGCAGCTCGGGCTTTTTTTGTCCTCCTATTTTTATTTTTTCAGTTATTTTTCCCTTTCCAATGTTTTTGCTAACATCATCAGAATAAAGATGAAAAACTCAGTATGTGTTTGGATTATATTATAACTTAGGTTGGGATGGCTCCAACTTAAGTTGAGATGGTAAATGCCATCAAAATTTTGTTTGGATTAAAAAAAAGATGAACGGGCATTGGGAGGGAAACGAGCGTTGGGATAGAAGCTGCTGGGTGGAGCTTTGCAACAAGCGTTGGCGGACATTGGGTAATGTTTTATCAATCTTCTCTCTCTTCAATCTCTACCAATGCCCGAATTTGCTCTGCCTTTAGCATTCACGAGTCTTCAATGAGCTCTTCACCACCTTCTCATCTTTGCAGATCTGACCGGAGATTGTGTTCGCTGTCATTGTAGCCGTCCGATCTTTCGTCGACTGTGTGTTGCTCGCTTACGGTGCCTGAGTTTGCCGGGCATCGTCCCTTCTTTCTTCTTGCATCTGCTTGCCTACTGTCTTCTTACGTCGGCTTCTATGGTGCTTGCTTACCGTCTTCTTAAGTCAGTATTCGTTTGAGGGTAAGGTGGGTATTCATGGCTTCATACCACTCACCCATGCAACAATCTTGAAAGTAGAGAATCTTTGGAAAAATGGCATCATCTGCTTCAGCTGTGCAGCCATAGAACGTTGACATGCTTTCCCTCTTCTGTTCTCTCCTCTGCACGATACAATATCTCATCCTCTTTCCATAATTAAGAACCGACCACACACGACATTCTCTCTGATCAATCCGAGGTATAGCTTATCTTCACGAATTTTTCGTTCCATTTGCTGTCAAAAAACCAGACCAAAATCATGTAATCCCCGACAACATCGTCCTTCACTTTCACTATGTTCTTAACCAGCAAAAACCTGTTCTTTGTTCTCCTCCTCCTCCTCCTTCCTCATGTCTTCATCATGGTGTCTAGCCAAGCACAAGGTAGGTTTTCAAAATCTGAGCCTTTCTTCAGTTTCATTAGAGCCATTGACCCTAGAATGTTCTTCACATTAATGGGTCATTATCTTCATCTGCGAGAACTTCACATCCCTGCATGACGAAGCTAAAGGGTGTTAGATGCAACTCTGAAGGTACCAACATTGCAGAGATCAGGCTAGAAAGCCTGAATCTCACTAGAACAATCGATGCAGAATTTCTGTGCAGGCTTAAGAAGCTTAGGATTTTAAGCTCAGCTGAGAATAATATCAAAGGCAATGTTCCAAACTCAATTTTGCACTGTGCTAGCTTGTGTTATCTGAATCTCCCAAGCAATCATTTGAATAGGAGAATATCCAGAGGCTTAACGAAACTGAAGTTTTTGAGAAAATTGGACATCTCAAACAATAACTTTTCAGGAAAGATGAACTTAAGTCACTTCTTTACTGATTCGTTGAATGAAGAAGCTATAATGCAATCAATGGTGGATCCTCCTGTTACCAGCAATATTTCTCAATATAATAATGATGAAAGAGACAATTTCTTGATTCTATATGTTTTGGTCATTGGAATAATGTTGTTATTCTTGGGCTTTTACTTTGCAAGCATTAAGGTTGGGGACAAAGTGCAGATCATGATAATAATGATGATGATAAGACATTAAAGAGCATTGAGCAATTTGATCATGCCGTCAGAAAGGCTAAAATAATTGAGGTCAAAGAAGAAGAAGACGTGATGATGATGAAGCTGAAGGAAAGAGATCATATTCATACAGATGATCAGCTTGTATTCTTTGAAGAGAATGAGAGATTCATAAAAATTGGACAAAAGGTGGCTGGATTGAAGGAATGGAATAATAGGATAATGATCTTTATTTGCAGCCTATAATAATATGAAATTTGAAAATGAAATATTGTGGTTTCCTAATGAGAAAACTATTGAGCATATCTCAATGTATGTGTATAATTAAAAAAATAATAGACTACATCATGATAAAAAATTAAGGCAAAAGAAGTTTGGAGACCTATAAAGTATAAATTTATTATAGAGGCTTATTATGATATAATTTATAAATTATACAATTTTTATTAAGACTAATTAGATTTTACATTCATTTCAATAGCATCAGGTAAACGAAATTACTTTAATATTTTTTTAAATTTCAAATTTACGCAAATCCATTTTTATATAATTTTTCATTATATAATATCTAAAATAGTTTTTAAATCAAATTATGTGAAAAACATTCTATTACATGTTTTTATATTTGCAATCTACTCTTTAAAAACATCAAAGATTAGTTACAAAAATATATACAAGAAAAATAGTATTTATTTTTGTTATTATACATTTTAACTGGCTTTTGAATCAAATTATCCAAACAAGTTTTAGTTTGTCTGACTGACTTCTGAAAAAAAGATATCCAAACATAAATCACGTTAAAGTTACAAACTTTTTTCCTAACCTCGGTTTGCTAACCTCAGTTAAATCTAATCTCAATTATAAATTTTTTTAATTCAAACATACTCTCAGTTTCACGGCTTCATCTCGTTGCTTTGTGGTTCACAATCATGCCCTAGATGCTGCTTTAGGGTGATTTTATTTTTTTTTATTTTTTATTTTTGACCAATAGAAGAAAATACTGCTTTGGCGTGCTTGATATATTCATTACACATAAAAATAAGTTTTTCTATTCATAGCTGTTTTTTAGCTTTTATATCATACACAGATATAGATAAAAAATGGATAATATTTATTCTGAAAGTGGACACTTTTGTTTTTCGGGAGAGAAAAAGGACACTCTTAGAATGATAAATCGGGATAAATGTGAATAGAAGCATGAGTTGACTAAAGCTCCAGACATCAAATGTCCCTTCATTGGTTTGCTTCAGTTACAAAAATGGCTGCTCTGAGTTTCTTGAGCGATGATGCATCAGTAGTTACAGGATTAGAAAAAGAAATTTTCTTATCAGGTGCAGATATAATTAAATCAACAAGTATAACCATAGAAATAATCTTGATTTGTCAATGAGTCTTGTCGGCGTGTGGTGACTCGGAGTCTCATTCCACGTAAATGTATCCGCGCATGTTTTATTTAAAAACTCACAACTTGTGTGTTAATTGTTTTTGAAAAGCTATTATCCTGTAAACTTTATAATAATTTGTTAGTCCTAAAAATACTTATATTTTAAAATTTATTTAGCATATTTCTTTTGAAGTTTGAGTTTTTTTTTTTGGTTATACTCCTCTCACGAGAAAGTAAATAATTAAATAAATAACTTGTTTTTGGCTTTTATTGATGGGTAAAAGTATAAAATTAGTCACCAATTATTTTTGAAGGAGCACTGTATAGCCTGTAATATCGTTGATGTGAAAAAAATTATCAAAGATAAAATACGGATCATCTATCACCTTCCATCAATTTTGCCCGGCCGTTTGTTGATTAATTCTTTGACTGGAAGAAAGAGCTGTCTGGTGGTGATATTGGGCTTAGGGCTAACCTAAAAGACGTTGAGATAAATACAGGAAGGCGGAAGCAGGGAGAAGGCAACGAATGATTTTGTGATAGTTCTCTCTCTCTGTACTCTTCTCCTCTCCCTGTAAGTTTCTTCTTCTATCTCTTCTGCTATTGCTTTGTAATCCGAAACTTGCTCATTTATCCTTGTAATTTGCACTTCCGTTATCATATTTTGTGGCCAATTCAAACTATATTGTTGTTAGAACGTGGTGATCGTTACATTCGTATTGGCTCAGATGCTATCTCACAGGACAACTCATGTATGGGCGTACGAGGATGAGAGCGACGATGTTTTAGTTGGCGTTGAAAGAAGATGTGACAATGTGAACCAGAAAACGGAGCGAAACAGCGGCAAAGCGCAGCACCCACTTGGACGACGCAACGTTGTGAACTGGATTCTGCCATCAGTGACTTCCGACGACAACAAAACCTTTTGTGCGACTCGGCGACTTGGCAGCGGTGACCACAGCCTCCCATCGCTGTGAACAATGGTGGCCTGATTGACTAAGACACACAGTTGAAAGTTTTGTGGAATGTTTTTGAGCTTTGTTTACTGAAAATAGCAACTATTTATTAATGTATCACTCTGTTCATCTGCTTAAGTTTTCAAGCACGGGCAACACTGCAATCTATGCAGTTTCCATAACCAGAAAGCCTTTGATCTCTGCAATTTCACTCAAGCCACTCTTGTCACCAAATCTCATACAACCTCCTACATGGTAATTAGCTCCCTCTTACTCTTATCTGGGACTTTCGGAAACAGCTTCAAAATCCAGTTTTTCCTGGCAATTTCTTTCCAAGTATTTCAAAAATGGCTTCAAAATCTATGGTCGATGGAGGCGTTTTAGAAACTTCTGAAGGGTGGCCTGATTGACCTAGACACTTAGTTGAGTGTTTTGTTCTTTCTCTATTCCAGTAATGTTTTTGGAAATGGTGACTCTGTGCTTTGGTGTGTGCGCGTGAGAGAGATTGTGCCATGTTTTGAAGACTTGCCGGCAAAGCTATGGTGTTATGAGAGATAAGATTAAATATGGGGGGGGGGGGGGGGGGGGAGAGGGAGAGAGTGATGGAAGATGGGAGTTGTTGTTATGAACCCGCGAGTCTAAAAAATAAACAGCCATTTAATCAAAATTGACTGAAGGTGTTGGATACTTCATGTTTTATAATTGATAAGTTTTTTTACATCACTCGATAGTGCCAGTGTTTATCAAAAAATAATTAGTAGTACAATTTATACATTTAAACATTTATTACTTTATTTGAAGAAAAATTAATTTCTTAATTTCTTAATTTTTAACTTTCTTGTAACTTAATTTTTAATTGGACTCGTTACAACTTAATTCCTTAACTTTTAACTCATTATAATTCAATCTGTTAATATTTGTAATTTTTTTTTTTTTATATTAGTTTAGATCCCACATCAAAAAGTAAGATAAGAGTATTTTAAAGCAATATATAAAAATTTCTTCTCATCTTATTTGATAAGAATAATTTTTCAAAAAAATAAAAAAAAAATTAAATTATAGATAAGTAAAAAGTTAAAAAATTGAATCATAAAAAGTTATAAATGAGGGAATGAATCACACTAACGCTTTGTTTGATTGGAAAAAAAATATGAAAGGAAAGAAAATAAGAAGATAAAATAAATTTTTCCCTATTTAGATAGAGAAGAAAAAATGAGAGAAAAGAAAAATAGGGTGTGAGATCTATTATTTTTTTCTTCCAACTTTTTCTCTCCAAAAATGGAGAAATTTTGAGAGTAAAACTTTTTTTCACCATCTACCCTCTCTCTTATTTATTTCATGCTCTGACTTTTAAAAAAACTACTTAATTACATTAATTTAATTTTAATTAAACAGTTTGATTTATAATTTTTAACTTTTATGATTATGAATTACATTAATTTAACTATTTAATTAAATAATTTAGCTATTGGCTAGATCAAGTGTCCAAATTACATTAATTTAATTTTAATTATTTAATTTAAAATATATATAAAAATACATTTTTAACAAATAATTTTATTTTAAATTAATTTAATTATGTTAATTTTAATATAATTTTTGCTTTTAATTTATTTTCACCAATATAATTACATAAAATATGATATATTTTGATATATAAGAGTATTATAATTATTATGATATTATTTATTTATTTTTTTGTCCACCTAAATAAGAGGAGAGTTAACATTTTTTTATTTTTTTTATTTTTTTTCTCATTCAACGGAGGGTAAAGGAGCGTGAGATAAAAGGATTAACTTTCCATTTATTCTGACAAAAAAAAATATTAAACATGCCAACTTTGGACTCATCTGCAGAAAACCCTCCATCACCTGTTGTTTTGTATCAACTCTCCCACTTCTTCTTTGTCCTGAAAATTTTCCCTCCCGGAGTTCTTCTGCGGAGCATTAGTGAGTAGCCACTCATACCTATCAAGCATGATAAAGTTCCATTCTTTCCCCGTCATCTTCACCCATTTCACTTTGACTGAGTATATCTTCCTTTAATTCGTTAAATTTCTACCCTAATGCCTCTGTATATTGCTTACAACGGGGACTTCTGTTTTTGCCATTGACGCAACTGACACCACTAAAGGTGGTAAAGTCCAAAATGGCGTTTCGCCAAGACACACCTTTGTTTGATCCTGGCTGAGTGGATGCCAGGTAATGTGAACTCATAAGTTGAAATGCTTGTTTAATTGCTCGTGACAATGTCATAAATGATAATAATGTATGAAATGTTGATTGGCAAGAAGATTCTAGGATTGCATTTGATGATATAGTGGTTGGCATTTGTTGGGATTCGGTATTCTCCTTTGAGACGAAATGCTTCTCATGTAATCGCCTTAATGTTTATGAACGTTTCTCACTGATATTTTTCTGATCAGTCCCGAAATCCAGGTTACTTTGTGCAAAAGGATGGACTCAAAGCGTTGGCCTTTTCTGCTATTGTCTAACTTTGCTGATAAAATCAACATAAATCCCAAGAAGCTTTTAGCCATCTTTCATTTATGGTTAGTGAATGAAGTTTCACTCTTGTATTCTCTAATTTATAAGATTATATAATTCAAAGAATGGCACCCTCCGTATTTTATATAAACTCTCTAAGGAAGAGTAATAGTTTTGATCATAAAGATGTGAACTGAATTCTGCTAGCGACAAAGTCGTTTTAGTCTCATTGCTTTTTGAACACCTGTCCTGCATATTTACTGGAAAACAAGATAGGTGGATTAGCTTAGTTGCCTTGATTTCATCAATAGAGTCTCTGTTTACCTGACACCTCAGTCACTCATTCTTCAGTTACAAAATGAACTGGCTAAAGAAAAGCAAGCATTGTATCTCAAGCTAATTTCTAGGATTCCTTCCTCTCCCTTCTCCTTTCTGCCTTTTGTTGTATAATCAAATTCGTCAAACTGAATTTGGATTTTCTCCTCATCCTTTAGCTCTAAGATTGTGAATCGATTTTCCTTTTGAGATTGAAGGATGAAAAAGATGAGTGCTTCTTCCTCTGGAAAAGTGGAGAAGGTAAAGCGATTGGTTGCTTCTATATTTCTCATGTCAATTAAGTATAAAGCAAATACGTCTTTCCCTTTTGCATCTTTTGGTTATAATTTTAAAAGTATTGCTCTCCTAAATTTCTTTGTAGAGGGTTATAAGAATTGATTTTTTATTTGAAAAGGATTAGATCCTTATACCCTCTAGGTAAATGGGTTGTCACAAGTTATTTCTTGCTAAAAATTTATGAAAGGAAAAACTCTTTCCGGGCTTGGGAAATCATCATTAGAGCAAAATAATATCAAAAATTTTCTTTGAAAGGCTTACTAAGTTGGACATCAGTCTAAGAAATAGCTTAGAAGGATCAGAATCTGATTCTTAGTTGTCTATCCTATAAAATCAAGATTCATCTGAAAAGGGAAGGGAAGTGAAAGTTGATGTTGGATATAACAAAACTGTATGACTTTTCAGAAGCAGATAGAAAATTCCATAAATTTATTCTATGTGTAAATATTTCCTTATTATCGGCCAACTATTTAGTCCTTTTGCTGTTTCAAAAATTGTTAAATTCATTTAATGCAACCGCTTATTTCTCTATTGTTGATTTGTCGCATTTCAACGAACTTTCTCAAATGACAACAAAAAGAATTATTGAAATTAATCACATTCAATTAAATGCTTCTTGGTGGCATATGACTTTGAATTTGATTTTCAACTTTTGGTAACCTTTATGTTCATTTTCTCATCGCTATTGGTTTCCTTGTATAATGTTTGTTTTATCATAATTATTGACATCATACTGTATCAGATAATCCAGTAGACTTACCATATGTTAAACATCTCATCATATTGCCTTGTGGAGTAGCAAGCATATCTTCTCACTGCTGATTTTGTTTAAATTCAGAAGCTGAAACACAAGATTTTGTTGTCCCCTGCATATAGTATCTGGTAGCTTGAGCATTTGATAACGTTTAATCATATACAGAGGTTTATTGAGGGAAACAAACTATAATAACTGAAACAAGTGATAGAAATTGATTGCATCACTTGTGTTAGTCCTTTAGTTCAGAATAGGTTGCGTTTATTAGTTGTTGGTCCTAAGCAAAGTGAAGTTGCACATATTAATTTAAAATGTGAGTGAAGTACTTTCTGAACACAAGATCCCAGACTTTGAGCAGGACTGATTTTTTTAGGAGAAAAATGGAAATATAAATAATTCAGATTAAAAAAATTAGAAAAATAATGATGAGACAGACATTAGTTTCTTTCTGTAACTTACACTGCAAACTAACATGGTTCCTCATACAGGTTGAACAAATGGCCCAACGTAGGGTGCACAAGCCTAGGTGGCTCGAGCCTATTCTGAAAAAAACTTTCTTTGATTCTTGTGTGGCTCATCCTATGCATAAGAATGAACGGAATAAATACTGTATGACCTGCAACAAGTCTGCTTGCCAATACTGTGTGTCTCATGGCATCCATCGATGCCACAAAATGCTGAGCATTTTCAAACATGTCTACAAATATGTTGTCGCTTTAGCTGCTGTTGAAAAGCATATTGACTGTTCACACATTCAGGTACGATATCCTACCTTGCCTTGAGAATTCGCTAAACTTTTCAAGTATTGACCCAATTCTTGTGTAGTAGACTTGATTTATCTCAAGTTCTTATTGTTAGTTAGTTATTAATTAAAGCTTAATCTTTATGTCATTTGACCTTGGTATAATAGTGCGAAAGATAATAGTGAGTGATTTGCATTCAGTATGATTGTGTCATGTAAGATTAAAACAAGCATATTGCTAATAGTATTACAGAGCTTCAAGTAAATGTTCTTTCATGGTGGTCCTTACCGACAACATTATTTTGTCCTTGCGCTGTTCTCTTACAGTCCTACTTTCCATGTGAGGGGCAAAAAAAAAACCGGTTCAGTTGGTGACAATTAGTAAACGAGAATCCCATCAGTCAACATTCTGAACTGCATTCTTTTCTGGCAATAAGTACAACATATAGCTTTTGAGTGGTGTCGGGCATGTGTGCCTATACCACACTTAATCCCTTCTTTGGGCATGTTTCAAAGGTGGATTACTGATGGAAACTAAGTAGTGAATCTTAACGTGTTCAATTGCTCTGTTTTTAAAATTGATCCCTTCCTGATGCAGACCTACACATGCAACAAGAGATTGGTTATTGCTCTGAATCCTCTTCCACATGGCAGTTTGGAGTCAAATACTGATCTGTCATGTGAGACCTGTGGCAGAAGGCTGAATGACCCTCGTTTGTATCGTTATTGCTCCATTTCATGCAAGGCACGCCAGTACTTCGACAATCTCTTGCAAAATTGATTACCCCTTATCGTCCCCTCAGTCATTATTTTGAACTTTATCACTAGCATATTTATTATTATCAGCCTGAACTTTCAGGTTAAAGCTGTTTTAAGGAAGCCCGATGATTCACTTCCTCCCTTCATTACCAAGCAGCGTCCTTCTAAGGGAAAGAAAGAGAAGGCCTCTGTGCTCCGGAAGCCAATAAACAAAAGAAAGGGAACACCCCGCAGGGCTCCCTTCTTCTGAAAGCCTCAACCCTCAAGTGGTTGGTGATTTATATATATCCTTATATGATGTAGACAGGATTGGGAGTAATTACACCATCAAGTTTTTGTCATCAAGGCAATTAATCTAGTAGCCTTGTTTTACTTAAATTTGTAAATATGCTGCATATGCTCATGGTCTCTGGAGTTGCATAACTAGCTCTGTTTGCCCGTGGTGATTAGACTTGCGCTTGCAACAACTGTCTTGTGAATTAACCATGTGACTATTGTATGAGACTGAAATGATTTGAAAGTCTTCAACTTTCATCAATTGCAATGGAAAAGCTGTCGAGTTGTAATAATAAATCAATGAACTTAAACTTCGTTTCTATTGCAGTATCCAGAGTCATGTGATCTAAAGACCCTTAGGTACAGGTTTGGCAAGGTTGTTTAATAAATCCCAGACCAAGATATGGGATGTACAATATCAGATACAAGAAGCCTCTATCATGAAAATTTATATATGCTCGGATATTCTTTATTATTCATCCAGCCGTAGAATTGAACTGGCTAACATTGACCACTGTACACAATCAGAGGCTGCCTCTACGCGCCAGAATTCTTAGTCCCTTTTCTTTCCTTTTTCTTTTTCCTATTTTCCATACAAGAATTGAGCGTATTTCTAAATGTAAGTTTACAAAAAATACATGAATCATTGCATGAAATGACAATTACAGAGACAAGTTTCTGCAGTATTCAGTAGCCATACCCAAATTCCAGAAAGTTATTAGGCTCTGACGAAATCAAAAAATCATCAGCACAGTCCATGCTATCGTTGCTAAATGCAGAATCAACCCTTGGAGGTACAAGTGAATCACAACACCCAGAGCACACAAACAATGGTGGCACCGTCTCTGAGTCATCAATCCCACAGCACCTTGTGTGCTGCCACACCTCACAAATGTCACATGCCACCATTCTCTCCCCATCATCATCCTGAGCTCCACATTCACATGTCACCTTCCAATTGTCTGCACCTCCCTGATACTTCAATGGAGTAACCAAATCTAAGCCAATGCCCCTCACGCGCAGATCCACACCAGACTCCACTACCCCAAAAAGCACTTCCTCATCACTGATTCCCACTAACTCTGCAATCTCTATCACCATGACTCTCTCTGCAATACATAAGTATCCCTTAGAGCAGTCTCAGCTGCTTGCTTCAAGTCTCCAACAGTTGCATGCAGTGGAACCAGCACAATCTCACCTGGGGATACTTCCTTGTTCAACTCTCGTTTATCATCAACAAAGTTGGGTATCAAGCGGCATATGAAAGTCAAAACTTGCTCGATTTCATCGAATAATGACCATTCCTTCACAAAATGCCTGCTGTCTAGAATTGTTTGAATCGCCAAGTCCACTTGTTCTGAATCTGGGTAACCCAGTAGGACATTCTTGTAGAAAAAAGCTACGTCACTGTAAACATCAATTCCTGGCACTTGTTCTGATTCTGCTGGAGGCTCCATATGATTAAAAACCTTTAGCTCGCGATGTAGTTCGGGGGCTTTAGATCCATTTCCCAGCTCATGAATGCTGTACTCTAGGATTCGAGTTGTCGGGTTGACCATTCGACGAACAACGTAGTTTCCAACAATCATATTATTCAGTGATTTCAGCACATAATCCAGCAAGCCTGTGTCACCAATGTGGAGCCTAGCTGCATCTCTAACATCCTGCCTCGTCATCCCACCAGAACCTGAACTGTTTGCTTTGTTTTCTTTCAATGCATCTACTATCACTTGGGCTGCGTATTCTAGTCGCCTTGTAGGCCACCTACTGTCCATATTAGCCACTGCAGAACTGAACTTTTTGTACCTGACAGATTTTTCCTTTAACGGGTTATGCTTGCTTGACATTGAAAATCTCGTCGAGTTTTTTGAGCAGAAGTTTGAAGGAGGAGGAACAGTGATATTGAAAACTAGTCTCTTAGGCGGAGGAGGTGCCCGAGACTTGACGGTAAGCATAAACCTGAGAAGATCCTTGATTGTAATCAACTGGGTTTCGCTCATGTCTCTATAGTGGCGAATTATTTGTTTGATTTCTTTATGGCGAATTGTATTACTAAAACATTGAACGACCTCATCAAGCTCTAACGAACTTAGAAGTTCGATCGCTGCATCATAGTTTTGCTCTTTCACACCAAAGCTTCCACGACAAAATCTGTAACCCCACCTACCAAACCAAGAATGGCCATAAGCAACTCCATGAAGTAGGCGAAGATCCATCAGGCGCTTCTTTGATGTATCTTCAACTGCGATTTTCCTGCCATTGAAACAAACCCCAGAAAGTTTAGACTCTCAGAACGTTTGAGAAATTCATGCAGAATCAAGATAGGTCTAATGGTCTTTCCAATACCTTGTTCGAAGAGTTGTACAGATCCTGTCCCACAAATCCATGATTTCTCTGCCACTGAGAAATTTAGAACCCCCTTCAATGCCATTAACACAGAGCAAATGGCCGTACCCATTACAGTGAATTATTCCATGCAACAGATGACTCTGATTATCAAGAAAACCTTCAGTCAACGGTTTATTATCGTCGGGGATTATAAAATGGTACCTTCTCTTCGATACAAAATGGCCGCTCCAGCCTAGTCATCACAATCTCAATAATCACCCATATCAGCATCTAAAACAGAAGGAACCAAACGAAACAGAGGAAAGCTTACATGCAAACCACCGAAACCCTCGACAACTCAAGATTCTTGGCAGATAAAATCAACCAGATCACTAAACGAGAATTAAACAGCCCCCAAACTGGAAGCTTTTAGATTACAGAATGGACGATTCAGAGTCAGAGACTAACCTGCACATCGGCAATGGTCGCAGAATGGGTGCGTAGAGTGGTAGACATTCTCTTCAATGGTGTAAAGAGGGGTCATACAGTTCAATTTCTCGTGAATAAGAAAGGTGGTCCATAAAGGCATGCCCTGGATCTCGAAGTCTTCAAGCTCTCCACATTCTTGAAGGAAAAGACGAATGTTATCTCTGAAAGGTCCGTTCGGATTGATGGGGCAACCAGGGTCGGCGAAAGAGTGAAACCTGAAAACCTTGGGCCATCTCTTTCTCTTCCTACACGCTTCGAGGAGAGAGAAGGACATGGTTAAAGCTTCGCTTTGTGCTCGAAGATACCCCAAGACTTCGCTTCTTTGATTCTTTCTGAAAAATTTTCATGCACAAAGCCTCGTGGGCGTATACACGGGAAGGGGGAGGGGGAGAAAGAAAGAAAGAGAAGGGAGAGAAGAAGCTCACTGGTCTTAACTGATTCTGTTAAAACGATTGGTGTCCAGTCGTTCAGACTTGGCGCGCTCCAGTGGGGATTCAAAAGAAGAGAAGAGGTGTCGCCGGGGGCATAATCGTCCTTTCGCCATTGGAGACAGTGAAGCGGCAACTAGTTGTATTGGTGACAGATGGATATGTTTTATGGGCGCCACGTGTGCTAACTACTAACTACCTGTCGTTTATTTGGTTGGCAATGGCATGAGACATTGTAGAGTTTTCCAACCATCTTCCATATAGAACTGAAATTAGACGATAAGAGTACGTTTTTTTAAAAATTTTTATTTTACGTTCTTGTCAATTTTTCTTCTTTCTTTCGGCCAAAAATTCTTTTTCTTCTTTTTTGTTAAATGAAATAATCCAAGCTTTCCTATTCTTTTTCACAAGGAACATCGCATGATTAGAAGTTTGAAAAACTATTATGCAGCTGATTTGTCTATAAATAAGATTAATATCTTGGACTCAATAAAATAAATAAAATTAGTTTTTAAATCATGGGTGAACCTATTAAATCATAAAGATATTCAAATTCTTGCTTTGTGCATCATGGATTGACAAGTGACCATCTCCTCTGACACAAATTTGATACCTCACCAAAGTTGTTTATATACCGTGCATCTGAATTATTCAATTTATAGCTTAAATTCTTTCTACCAACAGCCATTATCCTCAAACTGTGTTATTGGATGTCTCTCGCTTGTTAGCCATGCTAAGAGACTTGGTGATCCAGTCCTTCACCACAAGATTAGCATTGAATGACTAAGAAGCTTTTGTTCTTGAACTAAACTTTTGACAATTAGTGATAAATTTTAGAGTGGGACTGCTTGTGTGTTCGGCCTTGTCTATCTTGACTTTCTTGATGGAGTGAACTGCTCAACTTTTTTCTATTGCATCTCAATCACTTTTCAATGCAATTTTCAAGAAAAATTTATTGAACAGTGAAAAAAATAACAAATCAATTGCTACTAATTTTATAAATGAAAAGTACTTTAAACAAATTTAACATAAATTTTAAGTGTGCTGCCTTTTGATATTACACAAAAGGCTTTACAATTAGTTAGCTTTTTGAATTTCACTTCATTCTTAAATCTCAAAACAAATGAACCTTTTTGTGGTATTTAGTATTCATTTGATCTATGATTTATCATGAATGACAACTTGAGAAAAAATTGCAATTCAACCTGTTAAAGAAACAAAAAACCCTAAGTCCCCCAATAGAGTGTACGATACAATGAAGAACTTTCCATTTGGGAAAACATACTCTAAAGGCAACTAATAGGCTAGGGCAATTCATTAGCTCAATATTCAACACTCAAAACCCACATCGTGCAAAAGGCAGATATAGAACTTGAATCTAAAGCAAAACCTAGCCAATTCATTAACCTACCAAAGTGAGAATCAATTAGGGAGGGTAACTCAAATGACATACTACCTATTCAGTTCAATTTTTATTCTTTTGGAAAGATGCAATGCAATCTTCATTTCATTTTGCAATGGAGAGATAGTAATGGAGTGCAATGAAAATTCATAGGGGCAAAATATAAATGAGCATTGCCATCATTTTGGTAATGATGTGTAACAGCCATTATCATGAGTGCACCTAAAATGCAAACCACTCTTCTAATGATAATGCAATACTAGTTACCATTGTACATGTACAATAGCATTGAACCAAACGAGCCTGTAGTGTAGTAATTGCCAAGTCATGGCAAAAGGGTAGGACTTTGAGAATTGCATTTAAGGAATCATGCTCACTAGTTATTTATTGCATGTAACCCCTGAAGGACAGCATCATGTAATTTTTTTCAGCTTCACAACAGGTTCTTGCAGATACAGGTACATTTCCATGTGATTAAAAGCAATTATTGCTCACAATACAACACAGAAGGCAATACAGGAAGCCGTAATATATTACTACACATCTTTAATGCGTTTCGTGGACTAAATACAGCTTTTGACCATCCATAATCAATCCCGCATCAGTAATTTTACCAGCATCTTCTGATAGAATACAACAATCACTAGAAACATCTAGCTGCTCTGCTGCTGTTTCGATAAGCTCTTCAATGGAGTGTGGAACCCATAGTACAATCCCATGTCTTCTATGTTCTTTTGGATCCCATGGCTGGAAAGGAAAGACTGTACATTTCTTAGGATGAAATTTATCTGCAAACGGAAAAAGAAATAT